AGTTGATTCTATTTCTGAGGTGGTTAATCTCTTTCTAGCTGGTAAGTGTCCTATGGAGCTAGGAGAGTATATTGCTAGTGCTCCTCTTACACCACTTGTAAAGCCTGGTGGTGGTATTCGTCCTATAGCTGTGGGTACCGTTTGGCGGCGTCTGGTTTCGAAGGTCGGTGTTGTTATGGTTGGTCAGTCTTTAGGAAACTACTTTAATGGTCTCCAATTTGGTAATGGAGTTTCTTCGGGAGGTGAGGCGATACTACATGCTGTGAATCGGTTGATTGAGGATCGTGGTTCCGATGTGGGTCTTTCTATGTTATTGGTGGATTTTCAAAATGCCTTTAATCTAGTTGATCGTGCGGTCATGTTACGTGAAGTTCGTCGTCATTGTCCGGGCCTTTCGCGATGGGTTGAATTCTGCTACTCTAATCCAACTAGATTGTATTACGGGGACCACACCTTATGGTCGTCTCAGGGGGTGCAGCAGGGTGATCCCCTGCTTTTTGCTTTGGTTTTACAGCCCCTAGTGTGTAAAATCCGAGACACTTTTGATGTATGTCTTCAGGCTTGGTATTTGGATGACGATACTGTTATTGGTGACACGTTTGTGGTGGGGAAGGTTCTGCAGTTGATTATGGAGGACGGGCCTCGTTTTGGGTTACATCTTAACGTCGAAAAAACTGAAGATTTTTGGCCTATAGAAGACCCTCGAAGCAAGCTTGTGGGTGTCTTTCCACCTAATATTGCTCGACCCTTGCGTGGTGTTAAGTTGCTTGGTGGTCCCGCTAGTTTTGATTCCGGTTTTGGAGGTGACCTTGTGATGCAGAGGGTGACAAAGACCATTACGCTTATGGATGGGGTTGCTAAGCTTGATGATCCTCAATGCGAGTTGTTGTTGCTTAGGGCTTGTACCGGAGTTTCTAAACTCTACTTCGCTTTGCATACTTGTCCCCCTAGTACTTTTGAGGTGGCTCAGTGCACATTCGACGAGGCACTTCGATCTTCCTTGGAGCATATCGTTGCTGCTTCTGGGCCTGGGTTTGGCGATTGGCAATGGCGGCTTGCCACCTTGCCTTTTGCGTATGGCGGACTAGGTGTTTATTCCGCAGGTAATGTTCGTCATTATGCTTTTCTTGCTTCGCGTTTACAGTCTGCTGGGTTGCAGACACAGCTTCTACGGCATAATGGCGTTGTGGGCCTTGGTCGAGCATTTGAGGATTCGTTGGGCTTGTTCAATAGAACGGCGGAGTCTGACATTTTAAGTAATCCTAGTGAGGTCGCTGCCCCTAAACTCATGACGAAATTGGCAGATATATATTTCATAAGGGTTACCGATTCTGCAGAATCCACCTTCTCTTTATCTCCCCGTCAATCGGCTTTGTGGAAATCGCAACAGGGAGATCACACCTCTGCTTGGCTTCGGGCAATCCTATCTCGGGCTTGGTCAGACGATGAACGCAAAGACTTACCGATGTGTGTTATGCTATCGCTTGGGTGTTCCATTGTTCTCTGTCTCGACGCCGTGACTGCTTGCTCTCGGGTTTTTACTAGGGATATTTTTGGTGATCACGCGGTATCGTGCGCTGGTATTGTGGGTATTAAACATCAGCAAAATGTTGTCCGGGATACCCTTGTTGATATCTGTTACAGATCTGGGATTGCAGCAAGAAAGGAGGTTGACATAGGGTTGTCTGGAGGGAATGACTGGGCCCTCAGACCTGCTGATGTGTTACTTTGTTCATGGGATCGTGGTCACGATGTATGTGTGGACTTAACAGGATCTTCTCCTTTGACACAGACAGGCCTATCTGACTTTGTTCCTGGACGGGTTGTGGTTGACGCGGCTCATCGGAAGCGGGTGAAATATGAAGCTAGTTGTCGGCTGATTGGATATGGTTTCATTCCCTTTTCCTTTTCTTCGCTTGGGGAATTAGAGAAGGAGGCTGTTGTGTTGCTGAAACGGGTTCAGAGGTTCTCGACGACGCAAGACATTGAGGCTCGTGCTGCAGCTCATATCTTCACTAGGGTAGGCTTTGCTATAGCTAGAGGAGTGGGGGCCCAGATTGTTTCTCAGCTTCCCACTAATTTATTGTAGGTTTTATAACTTTGTTTATTTTTTAGATATAATAATAATAATATTAACAATAATATTAAAAAAATTTAATAATAATAATAATAATAATAATAATAATAATAATATTATTATTATTATTATTATTATTATTATTATTATTTTTAATATCAATATTGTTATTATTATTATTATTAATATCAATATTATTCTTATAATTATTATTATTATTATTATTATTATTATTATTATTAATATAAATATTATTATTATTATTATTATTATTATTATTATTATTAATATCAATATTATTATTATTATTATTATTATTATTAATATTATTAATATTATTAATATTATTATTATTATTATCAATATTATTATTATTATTATTTTATTACTATTATTCCTTTTATTATTATTATTATTATTATTATTATTATTATTATTATTATTATTATTATTATTATTATTATTATTATTACTACTACTACTACTATTACTGCTATTATTATTATTATTATTATTATCGCATTATTATCATTATTTATTTATTTATTATTACTCCTTCCATTTATTTTTATTTGCAACTTTTGCCATTTTAGTCCGCTCACAATTATGTGCAACTTTCTATTTTATTTCCATTTTGGGTAAACAAAAACCCTGAAAATTTTTATTTTACCCTTACTTAAAATTTCTGAATTTTTTAATTTAACCCTTAATAACCATAATCCCACATTATACACAAAACATTTACATTAACCTAATGTAATTACTCCCTCCATTTATTTCCCCCAACCGACTCCCATCAGCCACATTCCCAAACACCCACATTTAAGTGATGGAGTTTGGAAACATGTATGAGATCTGGAGTATTCTGAAGAACCCTAGCTTTGGTTCTTCGTCTTCCTCTCTCTTTCGCCTCTGTAATTCTCTCCATTGTACCTCCTCAAATATGAGATTCACTCCTCATAACTACGAAAAACCGAGTCCCCCACAACCATGGTTAACCTAGATCCACTATGCGACGCCTATATTGCAACCAATGACAACACCGAGGCAAATTTGATCATCTCCCTGATTAAAGATATCGCCAGTGGATAATCATTTCCTCGTCAATTGTACGAGTCTGAAGAGGGGAAGACCTGCTGTTCTCCGACTACATAAAAGGCGTTGGGGAAAGTTCTTCAAAGCCTGGATGAGGATGAGCGTCGGAAAACGGCTGAGGGTGAAGGAGAGTCCCGTGGAAAAAAAGCGCTTGATTTTGGTGGTGTTTGTGTAGATCCAAAGTGTGAAAGTGGTGAGGGAAGTGCTGTGCCCATCACCAAGCCCAGATCTAACCCTTCCAGGCCACCGGTGAAGATTAGGGCAAAAAGGAAGGCGGCGTTGGTGGCTATGTGGCGTATGCAGGGGTTGCCTGACCAGGAGGTTATTGTGCTGTCTTCTGGGGAGGAAGCTGACAAGGGTGACGACGGTGAAGTGGTTGGCCCTCCTGTGAAGAAGCACTCTGCGAGGCGGATGAACCCAAGGGTTCAACCCTTCAAGTGACCCTTGCGTAACGATTCCTAACCATACCTGTCTTAATTTTTTTTAAAAAGGAGTCCCTTTTATTTCATTATCTCGATATATTGTTGATTTGTTTTGGTATTTGGTTGGTGTTGTGGGATTTTATGACTAGATGTGGATGCAAGTTGGCTTGGTTGCTTATTTGTGATATCCTGCTCTGTTGTATGTGCTGATCTGGATTAATGTTGGCTTGGTTGCTTATTTGTGATATCCTACTCTGTTGTATGTGCTGATCTAGATTAATGTTGGATGGTTGCTTATTTGTGATATCGTGCTCTGTTGTCATGTTTGCTGTTCCGGACTTTTTTGGCTACATAGCTTAATTTTTATTACCTGGTCAGTTGGATAATTGGCTATGTCTGCTGTTTTGGACTATGTAACATGTATGCATGTGTTGGAGAATATTGTAAGAAGTGTTTGCTTGTTGGTATATGGCATTTGGTGCATATGGCTGTTTGATTGATGAATGATGAGGCAAATGTGTGAATATATTTTTTGAACGTCCCGTGGTCATACCTTTAATTGTTCTCAATGATCAATTTAGTAGAGAACACATGACAGCCCCTTTTGTGGTAGCATGACTTGTATTCAGTCCCCTATTTGTCTGTGTTGTGTACTCTGTCCAAATCCAAATGAGGAAGGGACTCTGTTGACCTTCCCAACCCACATGTGTCTTGCTCCAGTGATGTGCTTTATGCTATTGTTGTTGAGGTAACCGTGTGGGTTGGTGTTTTATTGAAATATGAAAAGAAAAAAAAAAACTTCTGATGGATTGAGTGCCCACATAACATCAGACCCATAACCATTTCTATTCCATCGAACATGTGGTTACAAAAGTACTTTACATTAGACTGCTTAACATGTTTGATCAATCTATTCAACAAAATACACCTAACCACCTAAAAAACAGAACATGTAAACAAAAAATTACCATATCAACTGTAAGTGGTTATGTGTGGCATTCCATGTGTTTCTACTTTGATGTGATGAGTCCCTCAGTCTGTATCTACCTCAATTTCTTATGTTCCTTGTTCAGTCCCCTCATTTACTAGCCTAAACATAATGTCTAGGTACTCCACTGCCTCCAAAACAATTTCCTTCTGCACTGGTACATGATTTGGCAACTCTCCAAGGTTTTTGTGTTGTTCATGTGGGGTATTTTGTACTTGTTCCCACCTTGTACCTTAAGGATCTCAATCATGCACTTTTGCAAAGACAGCCAAATGTACTTGTTGACTTGAGGATTGAATGCCTCATAAGATTCTTGCACTTTTGTAACTAACTCATCTAGGTTGTTAGGAAAAGACTGATATTGCAATGATTGAATTGACCTAAACAACCCTAAGTCAAGCACATTCAAATCTGGTGATTATGGTGGTTGGAAAACAAATTGAATGTTAAATTCGTGAGCTGTTGTTGCTGCCATAAACTCTGCATCAGTAGGAACTTGGTGAGGCCTTGTATTGTCCCATTGGATTACAATATTTTTTGGCTGACTGTTAGGCCACTTTGAAATAATTGCTGGAATGACATTGGCCACTAACATGTCTCTGATGACATCTCTGTTTACATTCTGTATTGCTTTTGTTTCCCATGTTCCTGCTACTCTGTTTTTACTTGATTTCTTGGCTAGTTGTTTGACTGTGAATGGGAACATTCCATATTTCCCATCATGAAGTAGTCCCCCATCTGTGTCATACAATGGCTTCCCAATTAAGCATATAAACATTGCTTTGAGCTTGAATCTTTTGGGCTGTATAGGCCTATAAGGATCTTCCTCACTAGGTTGGAGGTAAAACCTCCTCTTGTCAGGGTTCAGATAGAACCATTTTTCATCCTTGTGTATGACATGGTTCATATCAACAAATGTTGGGTCCTTATTACTTGCCACTGGATTTATGTGTGATAAAATCCATTTCAGCCTTGCAACCTTGTGGTCTGATGTCAATGCTGGCTTGTTGGTACTTGTGTGTGTTCTTAACCTTCCCTTTATCTTCAAATTGTGAAGACTCGAATGGGAGATTTTTAATGTTGCTGCATAACTCCTTTCTGCTGCCTTAAATGCAAAGGGACTGATTGTAGGAATGCATCAGAAAATTCCTTTGCCTTTCTGCCTACTCTGCCAAATTTTTTGGTCCTGACATCAATCAAACTGCCCTGTGCCATCTGTTTCTTTATGTCTGCAAATATTCTTGTGATGGTTGATTTATGCACATTGAAATTAACTGATAACTGCTTTAAGTTCCCTCTTGGTAAGTTCCCTTGCTGCATGTTTACCAACATTGAGTCCACAATTTCCCTTCTTTGTTTCATGGTCAGTTGTTTTCTTTGTTTCTGTTGAGTCCCATGGTGAATGGGTTGTTCCATTTCCTGGAAACCAGCCGCAGATTGTGTGTCATCTGTGTTGTGCTGTCCTTGGTCTTCTCCTTGTTTGTGTTGCATAATTTCATCTTTAGAGTCGTAGTAATCCATACCTAGATCTTGCATATTTTCTGCAAAATCGTAGTACAATTCTGCCACTTCTTCTTCTGTCAGAATGTGATCAACATCGAAGTACATAGCTTCAGATGAGTCTGCCATGGTTGCCTAACCTGTTTTGTTTGCTTAGCTTCAACTGTTTGATGTAATGGTGGCTGCTGTGTTTTTGGGAAGAAGAAGAAGGACGAAGGAGATGCAGCTGCCTATGAAGGGTTTTGGGTCTTAATTGGGCAATATTAACTTCAGATTAGGGAATTTTTTGGTATATAATGGGCTATCAACGTGTAATTACTAAGCTAGACTAACTTTTGGTGAAGAATGTTTATTGTTTTTAGTGGACAAAAAACATTGAATGCTTTTAATGGAGAGGCTGTATTTAAATGCCTCGTAAATATGTAACACAATGACACTTTAAATGCTCCCAACTTTGTATATTTGCTGGAATTTTTTTAAAAATCTGGAGGAAATTGAAAATTCCTAAAATTTCAGCCAAAAGAAAATTTTGGGAAACTTTTGGGGGGAAAACAATTCCCTCCTAAAACATGACAGCTTTCCACTACTTTCCCTAGTGGTGGGCCAAACTTTCTCTCTCCAAAGACTTTACTCACTTTTAGTTAACCCCTATACTATATGCCCCTTAACTTTTGCCTCGTGAACCGCAAATCATACCAAAGTTGCAAATAAAAATAAACGGAGGGAGTATTATTATTATTATTATTATTATTATTATTATTATTATTGCATTATTATTATTATTATTATTATTATTATTATTATTATTATAATTATTATTATTATTATTATTATTATTATTATTATTATTATTATTATTATTAATTATTATTAACAAAAACCTACAAAGTCAAACAATTTACAAGAAATTAGTGGGGAATCGAGACACAATCTGGGCCCCCACTCCTCTAGCTATAGCGAACCGGATCCTGCTGAATATGTGAGCAGCAGCACGAGCACCTATATCTTGAGTCCTTGCGAACGCCTGAACCCGCTTCAGCAACGCAACAACATCCTTCTCTAATTCCCCCTAAGAAGAAAAGGAGAAAGGAAGAAAACCATAACTAATAGCCTTGCAACACGCCCCATACTTGTCTCGCTTCCGCTGAGCCGCAACCGATAGAACACGACCAGGAACGAAATCAGACAACCCAGATTGCGTCAAAAGAGAAGACCCCGTCAAGTCAACACATACATCAAGGCCTCTATCCCAGGAATAAAGCAACACATTTGCTGGTCGAAGAGCCCCGTCGTTCCCTCTAGTCAACCCAACGTTAACCTCCTTTCTTGCAAAAATCCTACAGCGAAAACAAATATCAACAAGGGTATCACGAACAACGTTGTGCCGATTTTTAATACCCACCATCCCAGCACAGGACACTGCATGATCCCCATAAATATCCCCATCAAAAAACCTTGAGCAAACAGAGCACGGTGCCGAAACGGAGTACAAGGGAACACCCAACTGGTAGCAAAGAACACAACGGTAAGTCTTACCATTCATAGTCTGACCCAAACCTGATATTGGGACCGCTTGCAACCAGTCAAAAGTGTGATCCCCCTGCTGGGATTTCTTCATGAGTTTGGGGGTAGCGATCTCACTAGGGTTACGCATAAGGTTAGTCTCCACAGTCCTATTAAAAAGACTAAGAGCACCATCGAAGACTGGTCCTGGAGCAACAATACTAGAATTACGAAGAAGTGTAGCCTGAAGACCAGAAGACTGCAAACGCGACGCAAGGAAAGCATAGTGTCGAACATCACCAACTGAATAGACACCCAATCCACCATAAGAAAAAGGTAAGGTGGCAAATTGCCATTGCCAATCACCAAAACCTGGCCCGAAGCAGTTACAATGCGCTCCAAAGAAGCTCGAAGGGCCATATCAAAAAAAATCTAAGCTGCTTCAAAAAGACGAGGAGGATAAGTGCGCACAGAAAAAGTAGAGTTTTGAAACCCCAGTACACGCACGAAGTAGTAACAACTCACATTGGGGATCATCAAGCTTAGCAACAACATCCATTAGCACAATGGTCTTCGACACTCTCTGAGAAACAAGCTCACCACAGAAAGAGGAATCCGCACTGACAGGACCACCAAGCAACTTAACACCATGTACAGGACGAGCAATATCTGGAGGAAAGACACCAACTTGACGGTTACGTGGTTCCTTCGTGGGCCTGAAAACTTCAGTTTTCTGAACGTTTATATGAAGGCCGAGACGAGGTCCCTCCACCAAAATTAACTCCATAACCTTTCCTATCACCAAGGTGTCACCAATAATAGTGCCATCATCCAAATACCAAGCCTGCAAACATAAGTCGAAAGAATCCCTGATTCGGCACACCAACGGAAGGAGCACCAAAGCAAAAAGCAAAGGGCCAAGAAGATCACCCTGCTGCATTCCCTGACATGACCTTAAGGTATGCTCCCCATAAAATAGTCTGGATGGAGAAGAGTAACAAAATTCAACCCTACTGGAGAGAACTGGACAACGGAGACGGACCTCACGCAGTAAAGCCGTACGATCAACCAAATTAAAGGCATTCTGGAAATCCACCAGCAACATAGAGAGGCCAACATCACCACCACGATCCTCAACCAAACGATTAACAGCATGAAGAATAGCCTCACCACCCGCCGGCACACCAACACCAAACTGAACCTTCTAGATAGCTTCCCAGATGTGGACCAATTAAAGAAGCCCTAACCTTTGAAACCAGACGCCTCCAAACGGTACCCATAAAAATAGGCAAAATACCACCACTAGGCTTAATAAGTGGTGTAAGAGGTGCACTAGCAATGTATTCTCCCAACTCAGCAGGACATTTCCCAGCAACAAAGAGATTAACCACCTGCGTAATAGAGTCTACCAACTCATTCGAAATAGCAACCGCAGCACCACTCAAGCAATCCATAAGGTGTTGAGCACGCAAGCGGTCTCTACCACATGACGTACCACGCGGAAAACCCTTAATCTGATCTAAAACAACAACAGGAGAAGCAATAAGGTGCTGAACAACAGGAATATCCGGTAAGATAGGAGCCGAAAAGGAAGGGTGCTTTGCTTGTAAATCTGCACGAGTAGCATCATTGTAAGGGGCAAGACCAGAAGACGAAATAACCTTAACCGCAGCAGTGTACGTAATGACCGTCACAAATCTTTCTCATACATTGCTGAATATTACGCTCAGACAAATCATGCTCATCATCAGCATCCAACAAAGGTGGAGACACATCAGCCAACATGTCCCGCACAAGATGCACAGAACCACTAGGCTAACACCAAGATCGATAGCAGCGGCGATACTCTCTTCCTACCGCTGCCGCCTGACACCCGAAGAACACGACTACTCCTCGGAGAAAAGGTTTTTAGAACACAGAGAGGCAACACAAGCAGTTGAACCCAACAAGAGACGTCATCAGGCTTGCAAATCACCTTATCAAGCACTCCTTTGAGAACCTGAGAAAAACACAATCGAAACTTAGGAGGAATAGATTTCACCAAAAGAAACCACTTAGATAGCAAACTATCTAGGAGAGCAACATCGAACGCAAAAAGAGGCTCACGAGGCACATTAGGAACAATATCAGATACCTCCGAAGATGGACACAGCGGTTTAGGAAAACCATAAAGAACAAACCGAACAACACCATCCCTAGAATCAGGTGGGGCCACAACATCATCAGAACCAGGACCATGTCGACACTTCGTACGAAGAGTATGTGTATTGAAACACTCCCCACAAAGCCAAATACAAATACGACGAAAGGTTAACTCCGCCTCTAAGAAAATACCCAAATTAGAGGTAAGAGAGTTTTGGGTCATATCCCGCACATCCATACAACAATAACGGTCACGGAGATGAGCGATTAGATATGCTCTAGTGAGCCCATTCCCCCCACCATCAAGACATCCATTAAGACCCACAAACGGGCAATGAAAGTGAACAGAAGGAGGCATGAACGTAACCTTAAACAACCGCAAAACCAACTCACTACACCACCACCGAAGGCCGCAACAAACTCGCTACAAACTTATGCTGCAAATTGCCCCCAAACCGACCAATAACCAAACTAGAAAACAACACCAAAACTGATCAGGTAACACCACGATGCAAACACACTACCACCTCCAAAAATGTAACACCCCAATAATTCTCTCTTTAAAAACCTGCAAATACCTTTAAAAATTTACAAGAGAATTACTGACGTGCTACCGCCACGTGTTCAAACGTTACGGCTAGTTCAGAAATTAGCAGCGGAAAAACTAACTCAGTTATAAATAAGTTTCAAAACCAATAATCAAAACCAAATTTAGTCTTACAAGCTGGAACCATTATGGCCCTTATTCAAAACCCGTTAAAAATAGTAAATAAATCAAACCAAAGTTTAATTAAATCTAAATTTATGAAATGTAATAAACCGTGAGATTAACCAACACTCCACTCAAAATCCCATCACCTTGATGCAAGTTCTGATTAGGTAAGACCTGTGATTAGTCTGCTCTCCAATATTACAAGTGTAAAAATTGGATCATTACAGGGTCATTGAAAGGCGAAGGCCATGACCAAGAAACGACACACAAAAGCACGCAATCAGCAACGCTGAGTACATACAAGCTACGAAATATAGCAAAGAGCCCTAGCATGTTACTAAAAATCAATCTGCACACACAAAATATAATCATTGACTCGAACACATGACTCAATGGTTAACATTACTAAGACTTCACTAATTAACAATAAATAATCCATTTCATTCATTGATTGGATTAAGCAATAGACCAGGTTGTCCCCCTATGCTCCATTTCGGAACATTAATAAAAGAAAACCCTATGCCTCCTTTCGGAAACATTAATAAACATCCAACGGCAGAAGGGCGCGACTCCGTGGCCGTAGCTAGTATGAGATCTCATCTAACTCATTATAATTTTAAAAGTATTTGAAAACAAGAGACTCGTAGATCAGACGGCCTCTACACGGCTAATACCCCGTGTACCCCAACTCATGTTTGTCAATACTCCAGATGTGCACAAATCCAGAGTTTTATGGCTCATTCATCTTGCACTTTATGTGATTTACCAGTTTAAACTTGGTGATGACTCAAATGCAAAACAATACAACCAATCATACATCCATCATTCAAACAATTCAAATTTCCAATTCAATTCTTGATGTATTAGTGACAAACATTATTTAGTATTGAATCCTTCAACTACCTCGGTGTATAAACACCTTAAGTGCATAAGGAACCTCAATCCTCAACCTCGTCTTATAAGACTTTAAATCTCCCTTTACTCATTCAATTTCATTAATCATGAACGAGTGATACAATAATTCATTCCACATATTCACGTACCTTTGCCTGTAAGCTCATCTTGCATGTTAATGCATAAATAATACTTACAAGATAAATTAATACGTAATTCTCATACATGAAACAAAGCCAATCACCACATTAATCACCAATCAAAAACTTACTACCATACAATTCCAACCAATCTACAAGTTTCCTAACATGATTCTAAGATTTTCCAAGTCCTTAAACATGCTTCTAAAGTCAAGGTTTTCGTATCCTTGTACGTACCTTGAGTACACGAGTTGGTTGGCCACTTACGGAACTAAAAATCGCCTTCTACAAAGCCCTCTCCTAAACCAAACAATAATGGTTCAATCAATACCCAAGCAATATAATTTACAGCAATACTAACTTACTTTAAAACCCCTTAAACCATTGAAATAATGCTTTTAAATTACTCACAATAGTCAAAGTTAATAATTCATAGTTCAACTATAAGTTTATATGTTAAAATCATGAAAATATAGCTAATAACATAAAATTCCAGCAACTTTAAATTAAGGATTATAATCTGGAAATTTAGTTTAAGATTATAAAACAACCTCATAAACATCTCTACTTGAAATAATCATTATATAGTAGGTTAGTACGTTAAAAACTTAAAAATCCATCATAAAACCATGATTTAAAACCTTTAAAACCAAGATTAAAAATCTGAAAATTTAATTTAATAGTAGAATGTATGTATACAACAATCTAAACTTGAAATATATAATTAGAATTCAATTAGTTTCATAAAAACTCAATCAAACTTTCAAAATTCAATTAAACAACACTTTAAAACCTTCCTTTTGCTAGAATTAAAAGCTTATATATTATTCTTTAAATTTCCTACATAAAAACATTAAGATACATACTTAATTATTCATAAAATTACAGCAAGTTTAAAGCTTTATAAAAATCTGAAAATTTATTTTAAATATTAAACCTTCGTTAAAAATCAAAAACTGCCCTAAAATCATATTTAGAGGCTGAATTTGGCCACGAGAGGATAGTAATCACTACCAACGGTAGTGTGTTTTGATTAAAACATCGTTTACACATGAAAAACACTATTTTTTTTGTAAAAATCAGATGAGTTAGAATCAAAACGTGATTTAAACGTGATTAAGAGAAATTAAGAACGGAAATCACAAATTAACTACGAAAAATTGAAAACTTGCTTTTGGATTAAACATCATTATAATCATAGTAGAATCACAATATAATCATGCTTAAATTGAATAAATTTAGCAACACGTTTTTAAGCCCTAAAACCATGAAAATCAAGTTTTAAACCCTAATTTCTTAACTAAATAAATCTGAAATTTTGATGCATAATTTAAACATAATAAAACTTATAAATTTATAATCTTTTATAATTCATATACATAATCAAACCATAATAATAAGAATTAAATAACGAGAATTGATAAAGATTTAAACTTGGGTTGAATTAACAAAAGAAAAGAAAACAAGAGGGAGAAAGAAAATAAGACTAACCTTTTTGTGTGGGGGAAAATTGGGGATTCATGGGGTATTTATAGGAGAGAATTGTAGGGTAAAATTGGGCCTCATGAAAATAATGGGTCAATTAAATAAACAAAAGAGTTAGGCTTTATTTTTATAAAATGGATTGTAGGATGTAGCTTCATAAAATAATTTAGCCTAAAATAATTTTTGACCCAAATTAATAATTTGAAAATTAAATTCTGGAAAAATACAAATAAATATTATAAATAAAATAAAATTTCATTTATACAATATTTAAAAATACGGGGGATTACAAAAAATATGCCGCCTGAACAACACCCAAAGCACACCAAAAAGAAAAGGGTAACTGCTTATGAACCAAGGCCTACTGGTTATAATGGGGTGAGTTTACGCCCAAATGTAGAAGAAGCATGTTACTTTGAGTTTGTGTACTGGATTAGGCATGAGTTAAAGTATGATGATGTGGGTGAGATTTGGTTTAGGAAAAAGGGTTGTACTCTCTAAGGTAGGAAACAATTGGAAAGTGATAATGAGATTCCTGAGTTGTTAGAATCTCCTAACAGTGATGGGTGGTACAACTTGTATGTGGTTCACCATGAGAAAGTGGACAAAGATGAGGGTGAGAAAGGACAATATGATGAGTATGATGATGAGTTGGATGAATTTCAGACTCTTGATAATGTAAAGAACTGGTTCAATGTAGAACACTTGGTGGGGTTGGCTAAAAAAGGTAAAGGGGTAGCTGAGTCATCAAGTCAAATGGTCCCACCTGAAGAAATAGATAACCCTAGATCTGAAAATACATGCTCACAAATAACCCTTTCAACTGTTAAGAATCCTTTTTCCTCCTCACAGCAAACTGAACCCAAAAAAATCCTTTTTACCACCACTGTCAAAAAACCAAATAGATCTAACCCAACTCCTACATCTAAAATGTGGCTAGCTGCTAGTCAGGTACCTATTGATGATAGTGAAATGATAGTTGAAGAGGATGAACAACAAGTGGAAGTAGGTGATTGTTTTAGTGATCCTGATGGTAGTGATGCTGAGTGGAGACAATGAAGATAAAGAGGATGATGATTTGTTTGTTGAAAATGTGGATGCTAGAATAACTAAGAGGGTTACTAGGAGTCTGGGTTGGATTGAAAATTAACAGGTAGTTCAGTTTGAGGGTGGGCAGAATGTTAGAGAGGAAGATGCTATAGTCAACATAGATGCTGATGTTGATTTAGGTGAGTCTGATGATGAGAGCATACCTGATTCAGATGATGAGAGGGGGATCCACTACTCAGTTTTCAACCCTGATGTGGATTTCAAAGACAAGATTCAGTTGTCCCTTGGTCTGAAATTCCCATCTGTTTATGTGTTTAGGAGAGCATTAAGGTATCATGCAATAGAGAGTGGTTATAAATACTACTTTCTTCACAATGACAGTAAGAGAGGAACTGTGTTTTGTGTGAATAAGTGTGGTTGTAATTGGAAGCATGGTAGGATTGTGAAGTGCAGTTGTGAACAGAGCAAGAAATGCATATTTAAGGTTCATTGTAGGAAGGTGAAAAGTGAAAACACACTGCAAATCAAGGCTCAAAGATTGATCACATTTGTAGGAGGCAACATGTTAACAATAAGGTCACATCCCAATATTTAGCAGAGAGGTTTTTAGATTGATGGAGGAACACACCTACATGGAAACAAAGAGATTTCATGGTCAGATCTAGGAGAGTTACAAGTGTTACTCTTGGCTATTACAAATGCTATAGAGCTAGGGAAAAAGCAATGAAAATGATTCATGGTGATGCTGCAAACCAATATAGAAGGGTATGGGATTATTGTGAAGCAATTAGGGAATACAATCTAGGAAGTACAGCAGTAGTTAAGTGTATTGGCATTGAGCATCCCCCCCTGTTCCAAAGGATGTATGTGTGTTTGCAACCTTGTAAGGAGGGATTTATAGCAGGTTGTAGATCCATATTAAGAGTTGATGGTTGCCACTTGAGGGGACTTGTTCCTGGTTTATGTTTGACTCCAGTAGGCAAGTATGGGAACAACAACTTGTTCCCTATTTCATAGGCTATAGTTGAAGTGGAGAATGCTGAAATGCGGGAATGGTTCCTAGAGTTACTTGTTGCATACTTAGGCAGTGTAGCACAAGACTTGACTTGGGTGGGAGATACAGAAGCCAGTGTTACATATATGTCTGACAGGAAGAAGGTCAGATGAAATTTCTATAACTTTCATTATAGAATTGCTTAGTTATTGTAATTGTATTTATGAACTTAGTTTGTACATGTTGCAGGGCTTGCCAGAGGCTTTCAACAAAGTCATACCTAGGGCTGAAATCATATTTTGTTGCAGACATATATGGGCAAACTTCAAGCTCAAATTCTCAGGGGTGCTTTTCAAACAATACTTCTACAGGGCAGCAAGAGCAAGCACAAAGTTATCACCCTCTATTGTTTTATTTCAAGAAGCATATGATTATTTAAACAAGATTCCACCATGCCATTGGTCAAGGCATGCATTTAGCAGTAGGTGCAAATTTGGTATTTTGCTTAATAATGTTTGTGAAAGCTTTAATAATGTGATTAGAGAAGCTAGGTCTATGCCTATCCTCAAAATGATGGAATGGATTAGGAGGCGGGTAATGAAAAGGTGTTCAGCTAAGAGAGAAGGGATGCCAAAGTTTCAGGGTGTAATAATGCCATATGTGGTGAAGATGATAGAGAGGGCAAGTGTGATGTGACTCAAGTAGATGTGAATGAGTTTGAAGTTGATCATGTCACAACTGGGGAGACATGTGGTGAATTTGCAAACTAGAAAATGTGGTTGCTTTAGGTGGGAGTTAATGGGGATCCCTTGTTACCATGCATTGGCTTGCATAGCATTACAGAGGTTGAACTGAGAGGATTATGTCCATACAGCATACCATGTTGCTACCTATGCTAAGACATATGCCCCTTCATTCCACCCTATGTCAGGAAAAAATCAATGGCCAAAGAGTACATTACCAGAGCCTTTGCCACCTCCATTCAAGAAACAACCTGGCAAACCTAAGGGAAAAAAGAGAATCAAGGAACTAGCCAGGGGAAGAACAAGATGCTTATTTAGTGAGACCTAAGAAGCAAAATGGATGCAAGAAGTGTGGTAAGACTGGCCATTATTAGAAGACTTGCAAGAATCCACCTGCCCCAGTCAATGCTGAGATTAACAAGGGTGGCAGACTTAAAAATGTTGCACCCACCTTTGCTGGAACAACATCAAGCCAAACAGGTGCTGCAACCTTACAACAAATATCATCTACTACAACAGCACCTCCTAATTCAACCACCAGATCAACCACATAACCTGCTGCCAAGTCTGGTAAAAAGAGGGGAAGACCTCCAGCTGCAAATGCTTCAAAAAGTGCAGCTGCAAATGCTTCAAAAGGTGCAGCTCCAAAAGTGTCAAAAGCTGCAGCAACATCTAAGGGTCCAATTACCTCAAAGAAGCAAAAGACTACTTCTGCCAGTGTTATAAGCTCTCAAGCATCTACTTCATGAATCAATTTTTAAATGTGATCTTATTTTGACTATAATTATTGGTTTCCAGGTTTATGTATTGAACAAATTAATGCTTCTAAGTGTGTATGACATTTGCAATAATGTTTAATCAAGATGCACTTATTTTGACAACATTTGTCTTCCCTTTTGTTTTGGTTATTTTTTTGAGTTTTGCAAAGTATATAGGGCATATGAAAACAACTATACAATAGAAAATTAGGAAAAAGGAGCCAAGCTCATTTCATTTCATTTCAATATTGTACTAATACAGTCAGTACACTTAGCACAAAATAACACTTACTTCAACCAAAAACAACAACTAATTCATACTACTACCTAATTTTTGAACTACAATTCATGCTAACATTTTCACCATGATAAAACTAAGCAGAACAGATACAGCCACACATAGCAACATAGTCACTCCAAAGTTGTCACCTTGCCCCTTCTTTGACTTCTTTAGCTTCATTTTCAGTTTTTCAAATTCATCCTTCAACCTCTTATTTTCATTCTTTGAGCAGCATAATCTAGTTTGCAACACATTGACTTCTCCTTTCAAAAGTTGTTTGTCAGTTAGAAGAAGATTTGTGGCGTCGCGCGCCAACTGGTCATATCTTTATCAACCCACCTATAGAAGTTGCAACCCCTTTGATTTGTCTCTGGGTTGTAACATTTGCAGGCCTCAAATCTTAGTGCAGGATTCTCTTGAGTCCAAGTCTTCAACCTTGAAATTGGGACGCCACACCCACACTTTTTGTGTACTAGAGATTGAGACATTACACCTAGGAGTACAAATTTCAGAAAGAATTTAGCTAACCCTAATTTATCGATTTTGCAAAAATAAATAGGGATTTAATAGAGAAGAGACGAAGAAGAAGATGAACAGAGAAGAAAGAGAAAGGCAAAAAAAAAATTACTTAAATTGTTATGAAGCAGCGGCAACCAACAATAGAGGAGATGCGAGGAAGAAAGAGGAGCAGAGAAGAAGAGAAGGAGAGTAGAATGAGGAGTAAGGGAGGACAACTGAGAAATCGAAGAAGAAAAAGAAAGAAACAAAGGGGGGAGGGCTCATTAAAAGTCACGTGCGTGGCACGTGATAGGATTAACGCCGGAGTATTTAGTCAAATACTCACTTTTCAACGTCAGGTGTTAAGTTGCAATATTTTTATATAAAGTGGTGGTAGAGGTGTCCACCGTGCGGGTTATGCGAGGTGGGTTAGGGTTAGGTGGGTCACGGCTCAGGGTTTTGTGACACACGACACAAACCATGTAGGGTAGGTGGGCTGGGTTGTGTGTTGGGTCAGAGAAATTGGACACACCAAGGGTTGGTTTGTGGGTTAGCCGGGTCGTGGGTGGGTCGAGCTAGGTTTGTGGGTTAGACGGGTCGTGGGTGGGTCGAGTTGGGTTCATGGGTTAGGTGGGTTAAAGGGTGGGTCGAGATAGGTCAGAGGGTGGGTCAAGCTGGGTTTGTGGGTTGGGTGGGTTAGGGTCGGGTGGGTTCGTGGGTTTAGGTTGCTGGGTTCGGGGGTTAGGGTCGGGTGGGCCAAATGGCTGAGTGGGTTGTGTGGATCAAATATCTAAATTTGTGATTTTTTCTTAGTTTTGAACTTTTATTTTGAATAATATTTTGCACATATTTATTTTTAAGCTTGTTTAATTTTTACAAAATTAACAATTTAAAGGTTTGCTCTTAATTAAGATGTCTATATATCCTTATATCACAAAATAAGGAATCAAAGCCGACGTAGTTCTTATAATTCTAAAAGATTTTCCAAACCTTTAGCTTTGACATTGGGGTCAAGAATAACAGCGATTCCATAAATGATTGGGAATTTACTAAAATAAGTATGCCACTTACGATTCATGCATGCTATCAACAATGGGACGAAGTCCATCAATTTTTATATGATCTTCGATGGTGTGAACAAATTTAGCACACTCCAATATGACTAAATGAATGTTAGGCTCATAGATATAAGAGAAAATATGAGTTGCATTATCAAAAGCATTTAAAACATCACGAACAAAAGATAGAGACATTAGTCCAATGACTTTCGGTTATTTACTCACTAGGATTAACACGAGTCTCATTGTAGAGTTGGGTCAAAACGCCAAGATACTTTATAGCATCATTCAACAAATTAAAAGTAGAATTCCAACGAGGGTATCAATAGACCATTGTCTTTTCTTAAGACCTCTCTCTTTACACATAGCCATGTACTTCCATCTAATTGAGGAAGTAATCCTAATCCATTTTATAACAGTTCGATCTAATTGGGTTTTGCAATGGTTGCAACTCATTGAGACCCTCTTGAACAAACAAATTCAATATATGTGCATAACATCTAACATGGAAGAGATTACCACCCAACAACAAATTCAACTCAAGTCATTTTTCAAATAATCAATACACATTGTGTTTAAAGTAACATTATCAAGAGACAAACATTCAAGTGAAATTCTTTCAAACAATTCATAATACGAATTTGATGTTAAAACTGGTATGCCGTTCTTCCATAGCTTGAAAATAATGTATAAGCTTTTTAATGAATTAATCATCATCAACCCAATGAACAGTAATGAAAACAAAAGGTTCGCCAAAACAAGAAGTCTATGTATCACTTGTAAAACTAACACAACCATCAAAAGTATGAAATAATTCAATTAAACCACTCCTATACTTATAATAAGAAGTTTGTGTGGGTCGTGCGGGTTGGGTGGGTGGGTCGTGCATGCAGGGGCTCAGTCGCGAGTCGTGCGGGTTGGGCTGGGTTGTGCGAGCTGGGTCGGGTTGGGTGGGTTCACGGGTTTGGTGGGTCGAATTAAATGGGTAAAAACGGGTTGTGTGATTTGGGCCGAATCAAATGGGTAAAAACAAGATGGGTCGAAATGGGTTGTGTCAAAAATTTTGGGCCCAAGACACAACCCGGGCTGTGCCGGGTTGGTACCGAGTTAAAACCGTGTCAGACCCACGTGGCCCACTAGTCGTGCGGGTCAGGGTGGGCTGGGTCCAACCCGGCCCACTGACCACCTTTAAGTGGTGGTCACCTGCAACATTTTTTTTATAAGGTGGTTAATTGCAACAAATGAGATTAAAAAGGTGGTTTTATGTAAAATTTCCAAAAAAATATGAGTAAAAAAAGCATACCCTAACAGCACAGTCGTGGAAGTTCATTCTAATCAAACCAGCAGCAAAGTTGTGAACATGACCAACATATTGCTTAGTAATTCTATGAACAATTTCCTTGGCTTCAGGACACGAAGACTCGTAAAACCCGAGCTTCAAGCCCCCTGCATTCGCCATGGCAAAAATGAGAAAGAGCGCGAGCAATTTGAGGTTTGTCATATTGTACTATACAATCTTAGCTTAAGTAAGCTTACTTCTCAAGAATACAAGCTAGAAGATATTTTTCTAGGAATATTAGTTTGTATGAATGATATAAATTTGTACGTCGAATGTTTGCATTATATACTAAAATTTATGGCATCTTTTCAAAATCTCAAAATCAAATTAGCAAACATGCATTTACATGCAAATTAAAATTTTAAATGCATTAAATTAATGCACGTTAGATCTTATGGGCAGAAGATGTTATAATTACAACGTATAATGATTGATAAATTGATGATTATTTAACTTACATACAACAAGCCTAAAATAATCCATAAATGACTAAAACTTAATTGTATGTTATGATTATTTGTTCGATTAATATTATCATACATGTATTATGTATATAATCAAACAAAGGCAATTTTTTTTAAAATATTATAGTTTTTTCTAATGATATATTATTGTATAAATATAGTTTGTCATTAATAGTATGAAGTTAAAATAGTGCTCTCGTGCACTTTGGTTAGGAGCGAACAACTATCCCAAATTTTTAAGGGCGGCTGGTGGCTTTGGACTATAATAATTGATCTTTACAAATAATAGAAAAAATTGATCTTTAATCGCCACCTGAGACAAGCTAAGCTTGTTACATTGTTACATGTACGACTACGGGTTAATTTTTACATGTAATAACGTAATTACTCTCTCGGTTTCAAAATAAAAGAGTGCTTAGTGTTTCCTTAAAGTAATTAGAATGTAACAAAAAGGATACATAGAGAAAGGAAAAGAATGATCCTAATTTCTTCTAACTATTTAGAAGTGTTCCATAACTAGAATAGATTGCTCTTGCAATTGTTTCTTATCTAATTAATGTTTGGTTCAAGCTTCAAAATAAACTACTACCTCTGTTTCTTATTTTGTTCAACTTTTGCCAAAATAGGATGTTACAAGTTAAGTGCAATAAAATATCTTTCCTTTAATAGTAAATTATTTCGTGTAATACCAAAAAAACACTTACTTCAATATAATTAACACCTTAAATCATATGATATCATATCACTTCACTAATAAATAAAAGCCGGTTTCGCAGCCAGGCCACAAGACAACGACACTTGACATTCCAGCTTTTCGCCAAGTGTCATGCCACATAAACGACAAATAGGTAATATTATGACACATATGATGCTAAATGAGCAAAGTTTGGATAGATTTTTATAGATAAAAATGTTGTATAGAGTTTTATTATCGATATACTTCTAATATTTCAAGCATACAAAATTAATCATAACTTTTAGTAAACATCTTATAACTCGGTGTTATTTCCATCATAAAATTCGTTATAAAAAGTTCTTTATAATAAGATCCATTTATAATATATTCAATTTATTTACAAAAATAGTAGAGAATTAGTGAAAATAAGTTTTAATCAGGAAAAATAATTTTAGTTTTGGTAAAAAATACTTTCAGTTCAGCTCAATAAAATATATTTCAGTTCAGTGTGTCTAAATATCCTGCATTATCAAAAGGGATTATATGATTGTATTTAACATTCAATCCAAAAAGTTTATCCTAAACTTTTATTAACCATTTGGGCATCGCCCGAGCACAAAACTAGTTAACTTATAACCTAACTTAATAATCCCTCAATTAAACCCTAACCTACATTCTCTCTCCATCCACACGCACATTTTCTCTCTCCTCACTCTCAATCAGCCAATGTCAGTCACAACCAAGTCCAAAATTATTCTCTCTCTTCTCTCACAACCACCAAATCGCCACAATATATTCTCTCTATAGGACTTTAGGTACTATAAGCGGAATTTCATGAATCATATTCATATGCACCTAAATCAAGATCACAAGCATAACACACAAGAATCACATAATTATACCTTTGAAGCGTGAATTCCACGTAGCTATTCAATTGACAAATCAAGGAGAGAATAGAGCCCCAAGCGTGACTCCTCTACTTAGTCCACGGGATTAGAACAAGCGTCCACCAATGCTAGATTGGTCGAGTGAAGGAGAAAACCGCAATCACCACCTTTCTTGGACAAACGGACACCACACCAAAACCACCACCTTGAGCACACCACCGGCGCCTAGGGAGGAGGAGAGAGCTGTGAGAGAGAGGGGAGTTTGATAGGGTTGGGTCTCGTGTTTGCTAATTAGGGTTTTTAACTTGACAATAAACTGTTCTGTATAAAAACCTAGGCACCAAGTCTAATTATAATCCTATTACAATTAGACTAGGTTAGGAAGCCCAAAAACCCTCCAAATCCCTCCATATGGCCGGCCACCTAGGGAAGAAGGCTCGTCATGAGCCTTTTCCTCTTATGCTTAATCTAGGCCCTTTGTGTGACCTTATAGGATCCTTCCAATTGGGCTTTAGCCTATTTTACTAGCCCAAAGATCGTTAGTTACTCTAGCAATGATATAACGACGACCCAAATGGACGAATTTTAATTATCTCCATAATTTGATCCTTTAAATATCTAGTAATTGCACTTGACGAAGACATAATAAATCCTTTAATCTCCCACTTGTCTGAGACAACTGTGCAATATCAAATTCCTTAAGTCAACATGTGTCGATTTGATAATATGATTGCATCTCATGTCGAGGTCATATTAATCTACAACTCATTTCTTAAAATCTGAGTTAGAATTACAAAACCAAATGATTACTGAATAATACATTTGAACGCAACCACGTATTTTCTGAATTCACCCTCTTCAAGCGGCCATGACACATTCCCTAAATAAATAGGTAGACTCAATCCAATCTTGTAGTAACCAAAACTCCCACTTAACTTTTGAAGTAACCAAGAAACATATTTTATAGTCCCCTTTTACGGAATGACGTTTGGATGTACCACAGTTAAATCAATCATTGAATGAAATCAATGTTCCACTCATGTCAAAAGAATCCACTAGTATATCCGAAAGTTCTATTTTGAACTTCATAGTAGGTCAATAGTTCGATCATGCATCATTCATGCATATCCATGTGATTGACCGAGCATCTCTATGCCCCTATAGCCCATGAAACTGCACTATCCAAACAATCTTACATGTCAGTCCATTTATTAAAATTATTTATGTCCAATTTAATGATTTCGAACTAGGAACTTAAACAATAAATGAATTTAGTTCACCTGTGGGGTTTCATTCACCAAATCATCGATTTGATGATCCCATCAATTCATAATTATTTTTGGACATTTTATTTAATTTCAAAAATCATAATTTAATAAGAGAAATAATAAATTTTTGATTAAACATAATTCTGCAAGTTAATGTATTACTTATGTGATATGTTTTCTCAAAACATATACAACTTAAATTACATAACTTGCTTCAATCCAAGAGCCTTAGTATGAATCTCATACTTTGGTCTATGGAAGGGGTTTAATAAGTAAATAAGTGATATTCTCGCTCATGTGAAACTTTGCAGATCCTGACATCCCGCTAGCCTATGAACTCTTAAATGAGATGATACTTTATATCTATTTGTTTGGATTTGTAATGTGACCCTAGCTCCTTTTATTTGGCAAAGGCGCCATCTTTGTCACAATACCACTTAATCCAAACTTCCTCCTTAACAGCTTTTACTGCAGCTAAATACTCATATTTTGACATTGAGTTTGCGACAGTGCTCTTCTTTAAACTCTTCAAGCTCACTGTTTCTCCATTCAGACATAAAATGTATCTAGATCAAAATCTAAAGTCATCTTTTCATGTTTGGAAACTTACATTCGTATAACTTTGTTGACAACAAATTTACTTTTGTCACCATAAACTAGAAACATTCCTTTAGTCCTTCTCAAGTACTTAAGGAATTGTTCTTAGCAGCTTTCAGTGTACTTATCCTAAATTTGCTTGAAACCTGCTACACATGCTCAAGGAATATGCAACATCTAGCTTTTAACATATCATGGCATACCTAATGACCCCTATTGCAAAAGCTTGAGGTACATTATCCATACATCTCAACTCTTCTGGCTTTTGAAGGCACTGAGTTTTACTGAGCATAATACCATGAGACATGGGAAGAAATCCTCTCTTAGAGTCTTACATTTCAAATCTATCAAGAATCTTATCACCATAAGTCTCTTGATTTAGTTCAGTCATCCTTCGAGACCTTTCTCGATGAATCTTAATTACCAATATGTACTCGGCATCTCACAATTCTTTCATATAGAAACAACTCTTTAACAATTACTTGACTGATTCAAGTATTGATATGTTGTTCCCTATGAGCAGTATGTTATCTACATACAAGACTAAGAAAACCAGATTGCTCCCACTAACCTTCTTGTATACACAAGGTTCTTTTGTTCTTTAAGGAAATCAAACTATTTGATTGCCTCATCAAAACGAATGTTCCAACTCCTTGATGCTTACTTCAATCCATGAATGGATTTTTTAAGTTCGTAAAACATTCTAGGATTTTTTGGATCTACAAAACCCTTAGGTTGTGTAATGTACACATCCTCCATTAAGAACATTTCAAGAAGACGGCTTTGACATCAAACTGCCAAATTTCATAATTGAAAGATTAGCAATCGCTAGAAGAAATTGAATAAACTTAAGAAACCAATGGGTTTGAACCCATTTGCAAGTTTATCAGGACTAACATGTCATCTTTCTGACATGGAGTCCATTCTGGATTTTATGGCCTTAAGCCATTTCCTGAGTTGGTACTTGCCAAAGCTTGCTTGTAGGCTGTGAGTTCCACACATTCCAATAAGAAAGTTTTTGGATCCACCTTTTATCAGAATTTTAACAAACTGTTTGTTTTGATTCTGAGCTACCTACTTACTGGTATGAGCAGCAATAGAATTGTTCTCTTTAACTCTTTGAAGTTTTTCATTCTAGTGAGACGATAGGACCTTCGCTAGTTGAATTAACTTGCTTCGACACATCATTTATCAAATTAGCTGACTCCATGTGCCCTCACCTCTGATG